TATATAATAAATAAATAAGTACATTTCAAACTTCTGGAAAATTGTGGAGGTAAGAGTATGCCAAAGAATATGAAAGGGGGAAAAAAAAGTGAGATGTGAGTGTTCTTAAGAAATACTTTACTATTTTATACTTGCATTAGCACCAATTTCATGTGTCCTCATGTAATTGGCACAAAATACTATGACTATAGAAAAATGAAAAGTTACTGTATAATTAAAATCAATATAATTTCATAACATATTAATTTGATATAATATTTACTGCCTTCCAGAAATACGTGTCAATAGAGAAATATACTAGTAAGTAGGAAAAACCATGCCCTGTTGAAAAAAAAGAAATTTTATTGTATCTACAATCAAGTTTGAACTAAATGAAAATGAAAATTTTACCTTATTTTCAGATTTGAACATTCTTTTTTAAATTATAAGTGTAATGTCCCAGTCAATTTTTTACAACCATAAGATTTAAAATAAAAAATGAATCATACAGAATGTCTACTATACTCTCCTAATTTATAATGCAGGAATTTATATCTTTTAGTAAAATGACTTACTGAAGGTCACAATGTCAGCTTAGCTGCAAAGCAGAGACCAGAATCTAAGTCAATGATCCCTAGTCTAATCTTCACTCCCAAGTCAATGACTAAAAGTGGCAGGGATACTAGGGCAGATCCATTCCTGAGAAATATGGAACTCTCTGACAGATAGTCCAGGTTTAAGGATTCCCCACTGGCTTGCCAAAACTTCCTTAGAATTGCACTTAAGTGCAAGAATTTTCAGACCCAACTTTCCTTCCTTTCTGATCTCATGTACAGCGGTCAAACCTGCATCACTAAGGAAGGCTCTGCAGCCTCTCCGGGCTCCCTCCCCACTTTCTCTCACAGATTTTTCCTCACTAGGCCTCTTGCATATCTAATCCTACCTTGCAGTTGAACCCTTCTTAGAGGACCTGAACTAACAAATCCCCTGTAAATTAAAAATTCAATATCCCTTCATATTTTTATATCAGTACAAAAGAGTTTATTTTTATAATTGTTTATTAACTTGTTCTGAATTTAAATTTTAGTTATTTTTAAATATTTAAAATATTTTTAAATGTATAAAATGCAGAAGTCTTGCCTAATGTCATTTTATTTCTGGAAAAGCATAGGTAGAAAAATCTGAATTACTAATCTTTCTTTCAAGACTGCACATGTATGAATTAAAAGCACAAATTTTGGGTTGATAAATCTTAAAAATACTAAAACTTAGTATTTTAATACAAAGCAGATTACTAATTATTATTTATTTAAGAACATTCAGGAGGTGAACAGCTTAACCATTTGATCAAGGCACACAAAATTTGGACATGACTTGAAAGCTTCTAAAATCAACTTTATAATCCTGTCTCATTGTTTCATCACTAGGCTAACAAGCTGAACTGAAGAAATAAGGGACCGGTGTCATTACTAAAATCTTCTCACGCTTTTCTAAATCCCCAAATGTGTGTTAACTATAGAACACAAATGATTCCTAACCCAAGTAGAAAAATATAATGAATATTTTTTCAGTACAACTCAGATGAATAGCTCAAATTACTTCATAAATTCTCTATTCAAATAAATCTTCAAATAGTCTAAGTTAAAAGCAAACCGTTATTGTAGATTGTCTTGAATGGTAGAGAAAGAAAGCCTATTGGTGAAAACTTTTACAATTACTATGAACTAGAAACAAATTATGCTGCAAAGAGAAAAACTATAAATGTGTTATTAAATAAACTAGCACTGTAATCAAAGTATAAGATAATAACAAACTTCAAAGAATTTAAAAATCTTAAATTAAAAAATGTTAGAAAGTTGAGATATTCATCTTCATATTTCTTTAATTTAAATCATCATCTCAAAATTTAAAAAAAACTTGAAACCAAATCCTTACAACAAAAACAATACCAGGTAAAACAATAAATTTGATAGGTGTGATATGATCTTGGTGTCTTGAATATAAAAAAAAGTTTTAAGAAAAATACTGTTTAAAAACACATATGCTAACTTATTTGGCTCCAAAGACACATAATATTAAAACCTTCAATTTACTATAACTCACTTCAATGCAAAAGGCTACTAGAAATATTAACTGATCAAGAGTGATATAGGATAGCTACAAATAAGATTTATAACAAATAATGTCAACAAACAATTACAAGTTAGGGCAACATTATCACATGCAATTTTTCAAAGAAAATTTTAATGAAAACAATTTAAGTACCATTAACTTGGTCATCGTGGGCCTTGGGCCTCCTATAAATGAAGGATCATTTTGTTCCTCTGCACCTGAGGCTTCATTTAAGTTTGGATGCTGTTCATTTGACGTGGTCAGCAACTCTGGTAAATGGCAAAACTGGATCCCACATTGAGAAGCGGCTGTTTTCACTCTTGGCACTTCCTGAATCCTCTGGTACCACGCGGCCAGCAGTGGAAATTCGATCAGCTTTTCAGAAAGTTTCTTGCAGATAATTAACTAGGCAGTAAAAGAACAAAATACAGCATTATATATTTTTTGTTTATGACAGCTATATTGAAGTAGCTTTGTATACTATAAAATTTACACATATTAAGTATACAGTTCAAACAATGAATTTTAGGAAGTTTATACCGTTGTGCAACTACCAGTATAATCTAGTACTAGAACACTTACATCACATCAGAAAGTTCCTTGGTGACCATTTACAGTTCATCTCTGCTCTCTTGGTCAGTTGCAGGTAACCACTATTCTGCTTTCTATATGTATAATTTTGCCTCTTATGAAATTTCATCTAAATGAAATCATAAAATGTGTGCTTTATTTTCTACTTAGCATTATTTTACTGAGCTTCATCCAGGTAGTTGCATTTATTTCTTAGTTTATTTGTTAATTATGATAGAGCATTTAACGACTTTTATTTATTTGCATTGCTCAGATGTTTTCTCCCAAGCACCACCACCAAATTTCAATTTCTTTAAAAAATTAGTTTGTTCTTGCTTCTTTGTGAGGCACTGAATGTTGTTTCCATAGAAACAATTATATTATCACAAATAGATTATGACATGATTATGAACATGTAAATAAGTAAAAAGGTCAAGTTACAGAAAATTTCTACAAATATATCTAACAATAATCAGTACCAAAGTAGAAGCCAGACAGCATAGAAAGTTAATTTTAAAAGTTCACAGGTGTATATATATATTTATTCTACTTTAAGTGGACTTTAAGGTTAAATAAGCACACATAATTTCCTATAAGGGCAGGTTTTATGTTCAACTCTGTACATTGCAACACTTAAACACTGCCTTGCAAAAAATATGAGCTGTTTAGTGAGTGAAAAATGATCAAGGATCATTTATTAGCTTCAATCTTTCACACTGCTTTTTATGATCCATTAGGAGTTTGTGAAATCAACATAGATTTTTAACATATCAGGAACAAGACAAGGATGCCCACTTTCACTACTTTTAGTCAATATATTATTGGAAGTTCTAGCCACATCAATCATATAAGACAAAGAAATAAAAGGCATCCAAATAGGAAAAAAAGAGGTAAAATTGTATTTGTAGATAACATGATACTGTATGTAGAAAACCCTAAAGATTCTACAAAAAAAATATTATGCAACTAATAAATGACTTCAGTAAAGTTGCAGGATACAGAATCAATATACAAAAATCTGTTGTGTTTTTATACACTAATAACAAATGATCCGAAGAAGAAATTAACCAAAGAGGTGAAAGACCTGTACTCTGAAAGCTAAAAGACATTGAAGAAAGATATTGAACAATATAACTGGAAATAACTGGAAGGGTATATCATTACTTTCTAAAATAGATTCAATGCAATCTCTATTAAATACCATTGACAAACTTCTCAAAATTAGAACTAAACCTAACATTTATATGGAATCACAAAAGACCCCAAACAAATCCCGAGAAAGAACAAAGTAGGAAATATTATGCTCCCTGATGTCAAACTATACTACAAAGGTACAATAATCAAAACAGTAGGGTACTGGTCTAAAAACAGATATATAGATCAATGGAACAGAACAGAGATCCCAGAAGTAGTCCTCACTTATATGGTCAATGAATATAGGACAAAGAAGACAAGGATATACAATGGAATAAAGACAGTCTCTTTAATAAGTGGTGTTAGCAAACCTTACATCACATAAAAAATAAACTCAAAATGAGAGTTAAAGACTTAAATGTTAAACCTGAAACTATAAAACTTCTAGAAGAAAACATAGGCGGTAAATTCTTTGACATCACTCTTACCAAAATCTTTTTTAATATATTTCCTCAAGCAATGGAAACAAAACAAATGGGACTATATCAAACTGAAAAAATTTTTGCACAGTGAAGGAAACCATCAAGAAAATAAGATAACCTACTGAATGGGAGAAAACATTCACAAATGTTTTCTGGCTAATATCCAGAACATATAAATAACTCATACAACATCAAAAACAAGCAGACAATCCAATTAAAAAATAGGCAGAATACCTGAACAGACATTTGTCTCAAGAAGACATACAGAAGGCAAACGGACACATGAAAAGACATTCAGCATCACTAATCAGCAGGGAAAATGTAAATAAAAACCACAATGGTATATCATTTCTCACTTATCAGAATGGCTATCATAAAAAAATCAACAAATAACAAATGCTGGTGAGGATGTGGAGAAAAGGTAACCCTTGTACACTGTAGGTGGAACTGTAAATTAGTGCAGCCACTATGGAAAACTGTAGAGAGAGCCCTCAAAAACTTAAAAATAGAGTTACCATATGACCCAGCAATTCCACTTCTGGGCATTTATCTGAAGAAAACAAAAACACTAACTCAAAAAGATTATGCACCCTTGTTCATTATAGCATTAATAGTAATAGCCAAGATATGGAAGCAACCTAAGTGTCCATTGTTGATGAACAGATGAATGGATAAAGAAGATGGTATAATGCAGCATTAAAAAAATGAAATCTTTCCATTTGCAAAAAATGAATGGACCTAGAGGTATTATGCTAAGTGAAATAAGTCAGATGAAGACAAATACCATATTATCTCACTTACATGTGGAGTCTAAAAAAACTAATAAATGAATAAACAAAACATAATAGAAACAGACCCATAGATATAGAGAATAAACTGATAATTATCAAAGGGAAGTAGGTAGGGAAATAGTAATAAAAAGAAGATAAAATAAAATATAGAAAATATGAAAGTACACAGCATATAGTAACATGGATTATTTTGTAAATATATTTATATATAACATAAAGATGTATATTTGTATTTATATGCTCAATAATCTTGGAAAATACATTTTACTATGGAAGTAAAGTTTGGAAAACACTGTCTAAATTGTGCTCTGAAAGCCAAAAAAGTTTGTAATTCTCACCAAAATTCTTAATTGCGTGGAAATAAATTATGTGCTAAGGGAATTTAGCTTAAGCTGTGATAAATTAATCAAGTAAAAAATGTTCTCATCACCTCACCTTTCTTTTACTCTCCTTGGCAGTGACTTATTCTTATTTGTTAGATGTATATGGTATCTTTCCTTCTTTTTGAAAATAAGTTGTGATTATGTAACAACTAGAGGCCCGGTGCATGGATTTGTGCACTGGTGGGGTCCCTCAGCCTGGCCTGTGCCCTCTCGCAATCCGGGACCCCACGGGGGACATCTGACTGCCAGTTTTGGCTCAATCCCCTGCGGCCAGGGAGGAGCCCAAGCTGAGTCCGGCTTCTGGCTGAGCGGTGTTCCTGCTGTGGGAGCGCACTGACCACCAGGGGGCAGCTCCTGCATTAAGCATCTGCCGCCTGGTGGTCAGTGAGATGGTCGTTTGGTTGTTCGGTAACTTAGGCTTTTATATATATGGGTAATTCATGTTTAAAAGAAATTGAGGAGTTTTCCTCTGTGTGGCAGACCATCCATTCTATTTAATCAGCATGCCATGCTGCTCTGCAACATCCAGACGGTTGAGGAGGCACTGCACCACATTCATTAAATACAAGATATATTTAAGGAAGTGGCTAATGAAAAATGTATGAAATGAAAATTAAATTTGCTCCTAAAAAAGGGTATTTTTAAAAATGTACCTGGCTGATATGATCAAAGCCATCATAAATATCACAGAGTTAATTAAGGACAAGAAAACAAGACAATTCTTAAAATAGTGAAAATTGTACTTCCAAAAGTACAAAATGAAACTCTAGTGGCTTTGTAATAGGGGCAGAAAAATTTGTTTGCACGAAAAGAGAAGCAAAATGCTACATCTATCCAAACTATCTCCTCCTCTGCATTATTTTCCAATCACTTATATAAAGCATTTTGTACTTCTTTCATATCATTTTTAGTTATTCTACTCTGTCAAAACAAGTCATAATGAACAAATGCTTAGGTGAACAATATAATAAGCAGGGTAAGAAAATACTGCTCTTTTGTATTCTTGGCCTATTTCTGTGACTAAATATCACGGCTTAAGATTCAGCTTTCTGTTTCTGATCCAAACATGGTAACTTGACCTTGCTTCCTAATCATGAACTTGATCGTGATCTTTAGGACTGCTACTCCATCACTTCAATGTGTGTTAATGCAAGCACATAGATTCAGCATCATAGCCACTGTCTGAACTAAAATGACTGCTTCATAATCCAAGATGACTTAAAAGAAGAAAATAAATATAACTGAAATAACATCAAGGCTTTGGCAAAGAAAGATTAATTCCTGAAAGAAAAGGTACAGATCCAGGAAAATTACAAGCAAACAAAAGAAAATATTTTAAGAATTAGTTTACATAGAAATGGCAAGAGAAGAATTTAATCATAGGATACATGTAATAGAAAAGGCTGAGTGTACAAGTTTCCCCCTATTTAAAATTGAGATGAAAACAAGTTTCTCTCTGTAGTATTAGGTAGATTGACTCAGGGGTAGTCAGTAGATGTACTGCCTGATTAAAGAGGAGGAAAAAACCTTCTCAATTAGTAATACTTCAACCTCAATTGACCCTAATCAGGTAAATAGTATTTAAATTAAGCTAAAATCAAATGCAAACTAGCTGAAGATGGATATCTGGATAATGATCTAAAATTACCTTCATGCAGGTGAATCCAATTTTTTAAGTTTTGTTGAGTTTGAAAGCAAATATTCATCTTCTCTATCACCTTGTTTTATTTTCTTTGTAGCAATTACATTATTTAAATACCAGTGGCTCTGCACACGAATCCTTGCCAGAGTAGCTCACTGTTGCTTGCCTCAGCTGGCCGCCCCACCCACCACTGCTGGTAGCTCTCCTTCGCACGTAGTTCGCTGCCCTGCCCACCTGTTGATAGATTGTTATGCTTCATGGCGTAATGACCATTTGCATATTACCTCTTTATTATATAGGATGCATTATTTTTTTGTTTACGTGTTCATTTCTATCTTTTCCTACTAGAATATTAACTCCAAGAGGTCTGGAACTTATTTGTCTTGTTCATCACGATATTCCTAGTGCCTATAGTAGTAGGCTTTCAATAAATGTCTCAAATGAATTCATGGATGTGCCACTTAGATTCAACTTAGTTATGAAATTAGAAGCAATTGTAGTTATTTAAGCAGACCATCAACAGTATTTCATAACATGTAACAAGTGACTGCTCTCATGACTGAAGTTGGTAATAGAGGTGAGAAGTCAGTCATAAGAGAATTTACATTGACAAGGAACAAAAACAAATATTTTTCCCTCACCCAGCTCAATGGACAATATGAATACATATGACCTTTAAAATATTAATCAACATCTAAACAATTCCTGAAACTTTTAATATCCTTTAATTCTGAAGTTATTTTGGTTTCTAATCTTATTTTATTTTCATTTTGAAGAAAAATGTTCTTTAAGAAAATGTCAATTGATTAATACCACCTTAGTAAAGCTCTGGCCTCCAAATATATAGATTTTCCTTAGAAGTCTTTTCTCACATGTCAGTAGAGATACCTGAAGTGTTGGTAATATATAATGAGAATGAAATCTGGTACCTGATTCCTTAGTAGGGAAAAGGTGAAATACTTCAAAGCAGGAAAAACGCAGCTCTTGAAAACCAACTGGAAAGCTGCAGAGAGATATAGCTTCCCATGTTCACTCTGATGTTATTTTCACCTTGATCTTTTTTCCTCCATACAGGGAGGGAATGGAGAGTGGGGGAATGTATACATCTCCATGCCCCAAGTAGGAAAGAAAACTTTCCATGTAATTTTATGGTCAACAGAGAGGCATATAGATGAGGATAAAATATTTTTGATTTAATAACAACATAATTAAATTAGTGTTTTAAGTGACAACTTAATTATAAAATACAGCTGACAAGACTTTTATTATTTTTTTTATTTTTTTAAAGTATATTTTTATTGATTTCAGAGAGGAAGGGAGAGGGAGAGAGATAGAAACATCAATGATGAGAGAGAATCATTGATTGGCTGCCTCATGCAGGCCCCACACTAGAGATAGAAACTGCAACCCAGGCACGTGCCCTGACCAGGAATTGAACCTCAACCTCCTGGTTCATAGGTTGACACTCAACCACTAAGCAACGCAGGCCAGGCTAGCTGACAAGAATTTTAAGTGCTTGAACAGTGGAAACTCTAGTATTAGAAGGGAATCACAACAGCAATTTGAAATTACTTATCCTAACAATTAATTGATAACATTTTAACAACTCAAAATTTAAAGTCATAATTATATTTATTGAGAGCTTACACTGTTGTCCACAATTTATACAAGTTATCATTTATTCCTCACACTCGTCCTATTAGGTAGGTACTATTATTAGCCCTATTTTACAGATAAGAAAATGGAGACAGATATTAATAATTTGCCCAGGAGCATAACGGTAATAAGTGGAATTGGGATTCAAACTTAAGCAATTTTATACACTGAAACTCCCAGTAATGTACCCACTCCAGATCAATCTTACCAAAAAATGATGGACACAGGGCAAGAGCACGATGTCTGTCAGAGTGAAGTAAAGGCCTTCTGCAAACACATGCTCCAGAGGGGGAAGGTCAGAGGCCTTTGCTTTTCTTATGTGAGCCGGTTCCCTGGGGGTGGCAGCTGGTTCTTCCTGTACTGTGAGCTTTGAGAATGCCACTTTCAGTTCCAGGCTCTTGGACGAAGGGTCCAACCCATCAGATGTTTCCTGTCTCTGGGCCTTGCTCTTCGTTTTTTCCTTGACACCGGAAGGCCCCACTCTGGCAGCCTTCTGTTGCTTCAGCTTCTGCCGACGGAGCTTGTCATCGTTGTGCACTCTAACAGGCTCACTAAGCTTTTTCTCCAGCTGCAGTATTTCTGCAGGGATGTTTGGGCGCCGGTCAGAGGATTCTTTGAGAAAATTCTCAATAGCTAAAGGGATGGTGAGTTCACATAGCCTGGTCCACTGACTAACCTACAAAGCAAAACCAGAAATGAAATAATTCTTTATTTTCGACATAGCTTGAAGGAAAATAACTTTTTATTGGGAAATAAAGCTGGTTTAGCGAATTTGTCTTGATGTAAACCATTCCTGGGCTAGGCTATTATGCTATATGAAGACATATTTATAGTGCTTCAGAAGTGATAACATCAAACAATGGAGGTTTAGCATTCATGTATCTGGAATATATGCTCTCCACCTGTATCCTCTTACTAAATAACTCCTTACTTCCCAAAGCTTTTAAAGTATACCACCACCCAAAAAAAGGTGGGTTCCCAAAGCATTGCTACTTAAACTCCTGTTCATATGTAAAAGTTCCCTTTAAAAATCCTCAATGTAATTAAAAGATTAAGAAAAAAGAAGTAAAGCTCTAAAATAATATCTCCAAGCCTCATTCATTAAATCTTAAATTCGTATTTTTTCAATACTGCACTGAATTATTGGTATACGTGATGGGCTACTTTATTTCATTGGTTAGTGTAGGTTTTTTTAAGGAAATGAAGTTCTAATTTCCAGTAGAAAGTTAAATGTCTAAGTGAATGTGTCATCACTATATGGCCTTAATAACAGAAGAGAGACATTTTACTTACCTCAGCACAGGCTTTCAAGCAAGTCTTTTTAAAACCCAGAAGTTCCAAAACTTCCTTCTTCGAGGGGTCTGCTTCATATGATTTCTGGATTATGTGTCTCAGTACAACAGCAAGTCCTGCTCTACAGAAATTGTCTGGTCTTTCTACTACTGCAGGTAAGCAGCAATTCTGGACTATCGGTGGAAGCTCTTGCTTTGAAATAATCTGTACTTCAACATCCTGTGACAGTACATTTTTAAGTAGTGAAACATCTGTACTTTCTCTTGTGAGTACTAAGTAAACTTTAAAGATTTTGCAGTCACAGTATGATAACAAAAATAAAGTTACAGATGTATGAAGTGGAAAAATGCATCCTTCTATTTGGTGAGAAAAGTCCAGGTACAGATATTCTTCTGTAAGACTTTTCTTAATGCCTTTCATTTTCTTCTTTCATTGGTTCACCTGAAGCATAAATGGAAGTGGTTATAGGCCTTAGAATATAATAATTTAGAAGCTAAAAGATGAAATTTTTAAAGCATGTTCTAAAAATCAGCAAGGATTTGTGATAGATAAGATTCTACATGAATTTGTTCCTGGATTGAATAAATGGCTTCCAAAACAAAGATTTCCACCTGTGCTATTAACTAACCTTTGGGATGATTTTATACCGAGCTCCTTTAAAATGAGCAAACTCAGCCTGGCTGGTGCTAAGTGGTTAGAGCATCGGCCGGTGAACTAAAGGGTCCCAGGTTCGATTCCAATTCCCGATTCCCGGTTGGTCAGGGGCACATGCCTTAGTTGCAGGCTCATTCTGGCCCCTGCTGGAGCCTGTGTGGGAGGCAACCAATCAATGTGTCTCTTTCACATCCCTGTTTCTTTCTCTCTGTCTCTTCCCCTCACTTCCACTCTCTCAAGAAAAATCAATGGAAAAAGTATCCTCTGGTGAGGATTAACAAGCAAATAAATAAATAAAATGAGCATACTCAGGTGTTTTGCGATAGAGCCCTCCCCATCAAGTATTTTGAGGTTTCACTACAGGTGAGGACAAGACATGCATAGAATGGAAAATAGGAAATTCCCAGGAATACTGAGAGTTGTCTGGGGCTGATAACCTTGAGAAGTTTTGACAGTGCTGGTCCTCCCACACTGTTTCTGATTTATGACCTTAGGACATAATAATCAAGGGGGATATATTTATTTCCTCAGGAGAAATGGACTCTCCCAAAATAAGTGTGTTTGGTAAGCTATTGCATGTGGTAAGCTATTGCATGCTGAATCACAAGAGAAAAATAATTGAATTTCCCCATAATTTAGATCAGTGGTTCTCAACCTTCCTAATGCCGCAACCTTTTAATATAGTTCCTCATGTTGTGGTGACTCCCAAACATAAAATTATTTTCATTGCTACTTCATAATTGTAATTTTGCTACTGTTATGAATCGTAATGTAAATATCTAATATGCAGGATATATTTTCATTGTTACAAATTGAACATAATTAAAGCATAGTGATTAATCACAAAAGCAATATATAATTATATATGTGTTTTCCGATGGTCTTAGGCGACCCCTGTGAAAGGGTCGTTCGACCCCCAAAGGGGTCGCGACCCACAGGTTGAGAACCGCTGATTTAGATGTTGGTAACTGAGATAGCTCAAAGTTAAAATATCCAAAATCAAGTTCCTTATTTTCCCCCACCCCCAAATCTGTTCCTCAAGTATCTTTCCTGTCTCAGATAACAGAACACCATTCTTCTAGCTGCTTATGACAAAACCTGGGAGTCATTGTTAATTCTCTTTTCTTTCACACTTCCATAACCAGTCCATTAAAAAGTTATTTTGGACCAGCTGGTGTGGCTCAGTGGTTAAGCATCAACCTCTGAACTGGAGATCATGGTTTGATTCCTGGTCAGGGCACATGCCCAAGTTGTGGGCTTATCTCTAGTAGGGGGTGTGCAACTAATCCATCACCCCTCTTCTTAATTATAGCATTTGCTTCCTAACATTGCTTCCCATCCTACCTCCCCCTCTAGTCTCTTCTCAATATAGCAGCCAAAGTGATCCTGTCAAAAATAAAGTAAGATTATGTCACTACTCTGCTCAAATCCTCCAATATCTTCCTATCCTACTCAGAGAAAAGGCAAAGTTTCTAGAATAGTGTACAAAGATCTCTTTGATCTAATCCTCTTTTTTTTTGGGAAAAAAAAGCTATAATAGTTAATAGCTCAATTTTGAAAATGAAATGTATTTTAATAAACACTGCCGTTAGAATTATTCAGTGTGTGTAAACATTTTGGGGGACACCTTATATTTATTGTGTCTGTCCAAACTAAAATGTTCCATGATTAGAAATTTTGTTTTGTTCACTCCTATGCCTAAAACAGGGCCCAACTTTATATATATTATATATAGAATCAAGAAACATTTATTGAATGAATGCATGGATGAATCTACACACTCGCTTTTAAAGATGCAAACATACACAATTTTGAGGTCTAATTATTGATGGTATTTTCAAGTCATAGTCCTTAAGACTTTTGTCAATTGTAACTCTTTGTTTGATTTACACATTTGCTGGGTCTAAAATTCCCCATGCTCTTGTCCATAAATCACAATTCAAAAATTAACACTAGATGGCACTCTTTGAAAGCATTCACCATGGAAGCATGTAGTAATAAATAGGAAGATGGTATTATTAGAGGAAATTTATTTTAAAAGCCCTTAAAAAGTACACATGCACCTCTGTTGAGTGTATTGGAAATATTAACATACCCTAAATTTTAAGAAACCTTCAACATACTAAATTTCCTTTAATGTTCTAAATTCCGTTTTTTAAAATCAAAAGCAGAATAGTTACTCTTTAAGCTTTTGGTTCTCAACTTTTTTAATAAAGAAATAATAACCCATTATAACAAATGTATATAGTTACTAAGATAGTTTCAGAAAACCACTTAATAATGCAAATAATCTCTAATACTGTTTTATATTTCTTTTATTAAAACATAACACATATGCACCATGGTTTGCTACTTCTTTAAAAAGTTATTTAGACTAGAAAAATTATTTCATGTAATTTAAAAGCAACTACTTTTTAGCCCATGGAAACCATTTTTCCCTGAGCTTAATTACTTTTTTTTTAAACCTAGAGCTGATTTATATAAAAAAGAGTATTAAAGCCCACAGGCAAAAGAAACCATTTTCTAGGAAATGGACAGTCTCTGAGGAATTTGTCCCTGCAAATCTATTGCTGACTAATTTGCCAATCCTCTTAACTTCTTCTGACAGTGGGTTACTATAAAGAAGATCCCAAAGTGCATAGGGTGGGGAGATGGGGACTGAGAGGAGGGGAGTATAGGCAGAGAAAATGGGAGGTGATACCTGTAATACTATCAACAATAAAAATATATTTTTTTTAAAAAGGTCCCTAAGTGCTCCAAGAACCAGATTTGAAATAAAACATGATGGATTTCATTTGCCCAGCAATCTAGGAAACAGTAATTATGAGACTAGTCCTAACACTTAAACAAACAAACAAACAAACAAAATCTGGAAAGCAATGTTGTGCTATGTTACAGTTTTTGATTTAGGAAATGTAGAAATTTTTTTAAAAATTAAGGTTCATGTATATTTGGCAATTCTAAGGCACAAAAGAACCTTGAGAACAGACTTTTACCTGTTATATAAACTATTCTCTCCATAAGCACTTATAAATGCTAAATGTCAATGAGATAGAATAGTAATAATCTACCCATGGAGATATCTAAAAATTAATGAGATGCCTGAGAGAAAATGCAAAGCACTATTGAGTCTTAACAAAATTTATTTTTCCCAAGACAGATGTTGATGTTTTCTTCCTAGGGGATTAAAAATGTTCCTTAATGATCTTGGAGTTAAAAAAATCACTCTCCTTGGGCAATTTCTCCTCCTAAAGTACTAATGTAATTCCTAAAATAAATATTTAGTATTAACAAACTTGTACAAATTTTGTTTTGGGCTTGTACTGTGCCTTTAATTTTTCAACATGCTTGAAGTTTGCAAATACCATAGGCAAAGAAACTCTTCTTTTCCTTCTCCATGTCTATCTAGAAAATTCCTTTGTTCATTAATTTTGTGTCATGAGCTTTAAAGAGGTAGGTAGGTTCTGTAGAATCGTCTCCTGGGTCCCCAGAGCTTCTGGGACACAGCCCTTGTTACTCCATATTACATTCCTGAAATGAAGTGAGAAAGCCGCACACAAAACCATGAACTTTAGGAGCTGAACAGAAAGATGGAGTGTGCATCTCTTCTCTGGACATGCCAGTTCACTTGGGAATGTTGCAGGGGGAATAAAGAAGTTTTAAAAAAATGCTTAAGCCTTGGTTTCATTACTTGGAAATCTTCAAAGATAGTTTAAACAAAGTAGTCATAATTTTAATATTGTAGGCATTTAGACTTTTTTTGCATTCTCATTCTAATTAATATATCTTAGTGTTGATAAATTGAAACATTTCACATATGAAAAGGGAAATGAGTTTTATAGGTGTTTTCTTATCTAACATAAACATGAGAGAGAGAGAGAGAGAGAGAGAGAGAGAGAGAGAAACATATTGAAAATAAGCACATATCTCCAGAAGCAAAAAAACATCTTAAAGTTTTATGCTTAAAAATCAAGTCTGGATCTATAGCAACTAAATATTACATAATAGATAAGTTATCCTACATAATAAAAGCCTAATATGCAAATTGACCAACTGGTAATGATGATACACACT